GTGCACACTCTTCCCTAAAGAGCTAGAAGCCAAGTTCACCTGTTTGCCAGTTTATCTGACGTAACTAACATGATGCTGTGTCCAGGAGGGCATGAGCAGACCACGCTGTCAATATGTGAGGCTATTGGCTGCTTTTTTTTTTTTTTAAAGAAGATATAGGAAGGGAGTGGTTAACAGTCATAATTCATTCAGACTCACCTGAGGAACCAAAGTTAGACGGATGGAGGCTCTGTGAATACACTTCAGGAAACTGAAGCAGTACGCATGTACAACATGCACACAGAAATCTGGGTTAGAGGAAGTTCCCTCACTCACCCAGGGCTCAGCACAGCAAGAACACTGGGCTGACAGGCAGGGAGGGGAGCCTCAGCAGCACAGACATTTCACCATGCCTGCAAGTTCTTCTCCATTCCTTTCAGACTCTCACTGTGTCACCCTAGGTAGCCTTGCACTGACAGAGACCCATCCACCTCTCTCTGTCTCCCAATGCTAGGCCTGACTTTTTTTATAATTTTATTTTTATTTCTGTGTATGTCCAGATATGTGTAAGCTGTGTGTGTGCAGACTCCCAAGGAGGCCAGGTGAAGATGTCAGCTCCCCTGACACTGGAGTTACAGGTGGTTGTGAGCGGTCTGATATGGGTGCTGGGGATGGAACTAGGGTCCTCGAAAGAGCTGTTGGCTCTATAACTGCTGAGCCATCTCTCCAGCCCCTACATCTAGACTTCTATACCCTCTGCATGCCTTAAGACAGACACATCTTCACTCCTCACCAACCGAGCATTTCCTGCCACAGACAGCTTGTTCTCAAGAACGCATCACACTAATTTTATTTTCATACTTTTAATGACAAAACAGTCTCTAGAATAAAACAACTGCCATTGCACATAAGCCTAGAATTTAATTTTGAATGCTGAGAAGTACCAGGGACCTGTCATTTTAAGAGACCGCTGACCTAGGACACATCATCAATTCACAGTGTGCATCAACTGTAAAATGCCTGCCGATTAGAAAACATGGAAAAGCTTTAAAATGTGCATATCAAGGAAACACAGTCATTATAAGCAAACTTTGAAGAGTCCATCATAGAACAAAAGATCACACTGGAACACACTAAAATCCACCTTTCAGGCTAACAAAAGTGTGAAGCTGAAAACCTAACATGCCTTCTAGAATGGCACTACACTCAAAAGTCCAGTAACAATACAACGTCAACTCTGAGCAAACTAATCTGAAATAAATCTGATTTAAAAATTCATATTTATTGAAATACCAATGTGAACAAGGCAGAGTCAATTCAATGAGGACTCAAAATAGATGCTTTATGGAACTGACTAGTAATTTAATCAAAATTGTATACATTTGTCATTTTGGACATCATATAACTGTCCAACTACATATTTGCAAATATCACAGAGCAGCATAGACACTTCAGGAGAAGCAACTGTGGTAGGAACACACTAAGATAAAACCGTTCTCAAAGAGCAATGTGTCATAATGTAACCTTCCCTCTGGACGCCAAAAATTGCAGAAGTTCGGGCTGCTGTTTCAACACTTAAATGTGTAGAACCTTATTCTGTGATACCTCAAGAATGAGATATTTTAAGGAAACATTTCTACAACACATTAATTCTACAATTATAGTAGATTTATTACAGTTATTATTAATCTTAAAACTCTAGCATTACAATTCACTTAGAAACTGAGCCCCTAAGTGGAAAGCACTTTACCTGAGTTACTACAAAATGGATTAATTACAACATCGAGTAGCCCTAGAACACCAACACTAAGTCCTTGAGATGAACAGCAGCATGTCTGTGCCAACACTTGCACCAAATGGAACTGAAAAATATCCTCGCAGTCAGTAACTGGCATGCAGGCTCGCTGACAGGAACTATTTTCAAGAGCTTACTATAAGCAAAATACAAACTCATGGCACCTCTCTGAGAAGGGCACCATTTTCTTAATTTTGCAAAAAAGAAAACTGAGTGAGCTGGGCATGGTAGCATACCTGTAACCCCAGCCCTTGGGACACTGGGGCAAGAGGATCTCAGGTTCAAAGCCAGCCTGGGCTATACAGTCTGGGTCTATCTCAAGCACATCCCCATCCTGAAGCAAGGGAAAGTATGACTAGATAGAGACCCTAAGCTGTGTCCAAGGCAGAGAGCTACAAAGTACTAGAACCTGGGATCCAAGCAGATCGTGTCTCCTGGGTACAAGCTTTGTGGCTGCCTCTTATTTCACAGAATTATTGCACTCAGGAAGACTTTTCACATAAATAGTGACTCATTTAAAAAAAAATACAAATTAAAATTTTGTTTTAGGTCCTCAGTGAAACCCCAGAACCAAAGGAAAGCCTCATTTCTGAAACAAGTCCAAAGCTTTAAAACAGCAAGAAGAGAGTGAGCTGACCAGCCTAGGCACAGGGTCAGTGCGTGAGTGTGAGGAGGCCCCCTTCCCCTCCGTGATTCTCCATTTTTCCACATTTTTAGAACCTTAAAAACAAACCTTACTTTTTCATATAAACAATTTAGCAACCAAGCAGCATTTTTACATGTAAAATGACTTCACATACTTTACTTTATACACACTTACTAGATAGCAGCATTAACGGTATTTCCTATTGGATGGCAACCAGGATGAGGCACAGAAAACCATCTCTAAAGTTGGTTTTATTCCCTATATAAAGAGGATCTTTCACACACGCCTTTAGTTCCATCACTTGGGAGGCAAGGCAGTCAGATCTCTGAGATTGAGGCCTACAGCCAGGATAGTTTTTACACAGAGAAAACCTGACTCCAAAAACAAAAAAGCGGGGAAGGGGGCCTTTCATCCATAATTGATTCATGAAACCATTAGGGTGTGCTTTCTAAAACATAGTGGAAAATGGTTCCACACTAAACAGCATACTTTCCTTCAAAGGCAGGCTTTGTCCTGAGGATTTTTTTGTAGGGATACCCCCAACCAGAGAAACGAAAAATCTCTAGTGCTCAACAGTCATAGGCGAGGAGAGGACAGGCCAGCAGGACCACTCCCCACAGACCTGTCTCGTCCTCTCTCTCCCCTGCCTGTCACAGGGGAGGAGAGGACAGGCCAGCAGGACCACTCCCCACAGACCTATCTCGTCCTCTCTCTCCCCTGCTGGAAGCAGCTCTGAAAACCTTCAGTGTCGGCAGCTAGGGGCTGGCTTTATGGAAGCTGAGTTTACAAAACATGAGCATTGAGTTTCTAGATGGAACTACGTAAGACCTGGATTTGAACAGTTTTACCCAGACACCCCAACCCAGTTTTTACCTAAATGCTACATTGCTCCACTCCTGGCCTTTCTCATCCACCCTATCCTAGTCCCACTTAGCAGGAGCAGGTGTCTGCACTCCACCTTAGGGGGAGAAAAGTCACCCGGCTAAGGACCCCTGGACACAGGGTATAACAGCAAAGAGAAACAGAAACGTTTTCCTGCCCTAGCGTGTTCCAGTTTAAATGTGTAAATATCGAGAGCTATCTGCCTTTATACAAATTTCTCACCAGCGGTCAGAGATTCCGGCATGGAAGAAGTGGCTATTCAGGCAGGAGTACTTAGGCTGCATGCATCAGGACAGCTATGACGGTGACCTAACACATCTGTGGATCACAGCGTCACAGCAGGCTATCAGACAGTTGGATACCCTGTATCTAGTCAGCTTGGACGTCTTACCAACTAGTCACCATTACTTTGGCCAGAGAGCCTACAAAGGCTCACCCTGGGCCTCTGGGTAGGACTCAGTTAGAAGGACACAGTCTCTGGTTTGGAGGAGATGCATTCCCTAATCATATCTTCCTGTGGTTTATAAAGCCATCATTCAGGAGTGCTTCCTGAACCTGAAGTTACATGTGATGAGAAGAAAGTTAAACTAACACCTACTTGCTATTTTTATTCTTTAAAAGGGTATTAATGAACATAAAATCACAAGGAAGCACGAGTCCACAGAACATAATCTGCCTTTCAAATTATCTTCCAAGCACCAGGCTATAATATAATGCTATCAAAGCAGATTCCCTCTGAGCCCGCTGATGTGCCGATCACTGTAAGAGGTTGAAGTAGCGATAGAGCATCATCCAAGTATCTCCTTCCCAGATCTCTCCATTCTCTAGGGAGAGAGGAAGCTGGCATCAAGACCAGCCCCCACCAAATGTAATGAAATCAAGATGCATTAACACTAGTGTTTCTGACTTTACCAACTGGGAGGGTTATCACTAATAATTACTTCAATAGTGGCGTACGTGTGTACATGTGTGCACAAGTGTATTTGTGAGAGTGAGAATGTGTGTGTGCATATGTGTGTGTGTGTGTGTGTGTGTGTGTGTGTACGTATGGATAAACCAGAGGTCAACATCAGTTATCTCCCCTTTCACTCCTGTTCATCTTGGTTTGTTTTTTGCTATCGTTGAGATAGAATCTCTTCACTTAATTCACTGACTGGACAAGGCTTGATGGCCAGTGAGTTACAGGACCCACCTGTGTCCCCCCCACACACACTCCCTCCGCTCTCCCCACCATCCCCACTCAGAGCACTGTGGTTACAGATGTGCCCCACCATGCCTGGTTTTTATAGGGGTGACACTAATCTGGACTCAGCAACAAGCCCTTTGCCCACTGAGCCATCTCCCCACTCCCCATCCCTAGTCAAATGATTCTAATGTCTATTCTGTTACTGAATGGAAAAATATATTCACGATCAAATAACCATAAATCAAATTAGACTTTTATAATGTCGTGCTCATGTTTTTCTAAGATAGAAATATATCAATACACCACAAGTACGGATTTTATAATATGCCGTGACTCTAAACTGGCTTTTAAAAGTTTTTCACAATTAAAAACACATATAAAAATTATATAAAAGTGGGGGAAATATGTAAACTCTATGATCTTCATTCCAGAAAAGTAACTAAATGCAAGTGAAAAGCTGAGTTTAAGGTTCTAACTTGAGGGCAAACACAAAGCCGACAGGAGCTGGGTACCTTTTGGCACTGGTGGACAGTTTGGCAGCCGTCTTGCTGGATATCTTCCCCTCCTTCTTCTTGGGCTGAACTTGCTCTCGCTCGGGTTCTTGCTGGACGCTCTCCCGCTGATCCCCATCGGAGCTCCCTCCACTAGTGCTTGGGCTGTCGTCCACTCTCTGTGCCTCCGTGGACATTTTAGATCCTGGAACAAAGGATGAAGCCTCCTTTATTCTGCTGTGGGAGGGACTAGGACAGGAAACATCCAGAATGGGGAGAAACGAACCTAAGAAGCGAAGGAAGTCAAACTAGGTATAAAAACAAGTAACTCTGGGAGTGGCCCACACTTTTCTTCTATGAGTTCATGAAAATTCAGACCCAAATATTGGTAGGAATTTTATTCACGAGACAAAAAGTGGAAACAATTCAAACATTCTCTAACTGATAGTCAAGCGTGGTGCAGCCACATGGCAAATGAAGTCTGGGATCTGCATGCTTCAGCGGGAAGACCTTGAATCTTTACACTGAGAGAAGCCAGTCAGGAGGACCACAGACTGCAAAGCTCTCTTGTAAGAAATGTCCAGACAGGTAAATGCATGGGGACAGAGACAGACTGAAGGGAAGTGACTTTTAATGGACAGAAAGTGATAGCAATGTTCTTAACTTAAGCGGAGGTCAGAGTAGAAAAGCCTCAGCATGTTCGGCTTTGCTTCTGTGGCGCTGGAGACTGAAGCCAAGGTCTCACCATGCTAGGCAAGCACCACTGAGCTACCTTCAACCCCCAGGCTAAATTGTACATTTTAAGATGGTGGAGGTATAGTTTGGGCAGAGCGCATGTCAGCAGAGTTCAAGCTCCAGTATATACAAAAAATGAGGAGACTAATGTCATAAGGTGAGTTACATCTCAAAAGGACTGGCATAAGACACACCAGAAGAGGCCTGGGAGATGGCTCAGAGGTTAAGAGCACTGGCTGCTCTTGCAGAGAACCTGGGCTCCATTCCCGACACCCACACAGTGGCTCACAACGGTCTGTAACTCCAGCTCCAGCAGATATGACACCCTCTCTGACCTCCCTGGGCACCAGGCACATATGTGGTACACAGACATACAAGCAAACAAAACCCCATACACAGAAAATAAAAGTAAGTAGATCTTTTTAAAAGGCAGAAAGAGAAAAAAGGATTCAGAGTCTAATTTTCCCGGGCACTGTGCTGTGCACTCTGTGCTCAGCTATGGGAAGTCTGGACAGGGTAAACAGACCTGCAAAGTGTCCCGGCAAGTCACTGCAAGGAGGCCCAGGGCTGAGAAACAGGACACTGCCACACTCACAATTGATACATCCTCAGAGCTGAGCCAAGGTTAAAATCCTCTAAGCTGGGAAATTGTCTTAAGTAACCTTTGTGATAACAGAACAGAAGCCACATGATTCCAAACAAGAACTGAAGCTTACGAGGGTGTGGGCACTGACCCAGCTCCACTGAGCAACCGCGTTTCACAAGAGATAGAGACTGGACTGAGACACTGACGGATTGTTTTTTTTTTTTCCCCTCAGTCTGGAGGAAATCACCCTCGAGGTTGGAAATTCACTTTGCTCTGAGTTCATGCTCCTGGAGCAGCTCCGATTACCAACTCAATTTCCTCAATGCCCTGATACCTAGGCTGCCGTTGTAACCTGGATAACAGACACAAGAACGCACGGAGCGAAAAGGATATCCCTCCTCCAATCTCATTCCATCGCAATCACCCCAGTTTGATCCTTGCTATTACATCCTGTCTGACCCAACAAGCGGAGAGACCCAGAACTGAACTGACAAAACTCATGCCCGGACTCTACAGGGCCTCAAGCCACCAGCAATCACTTCGGGTATCATAGAGCTAAGGCTCAGACATGTCTTTGAAAAAGGAGACTGCCTGTGACAAACACCCTCACCACCAACACCATCACCATCATCATCAACACACACACACACAAGGGGGTGGGAGATTTATCTAAATTCTTCTTGAAAAAGACTCTTAAATTAAAACTTTGAACTCAACCTGCTTCTGATATGTTCAAGAGTACGCCTCAGTGCACCCAAAACCAGAAGCCTCACTTAAAGCAATCCATCACGATCATTACCTAGTCCAAAGACATGCCCCAGTAACTCTGATCAGCTCTCACCATCATCAGTCCATGGTGATTTTTCAACACAGGCCTCTAGCAGAGTTTCATGAGACAAACGTCTCTGTATAAGACAAATAAGCACAGCCAAGGACCGGAAGAATCGGGATGCACAGAGCTGAAGCATCAAAAGACAACACATAACATCGCCACCCTCAGCCCTAACAGTCCCTTATAGAAGACACCACACATAACATCACCACCCTCAGCCCTAACAGTTCCTCACAGAAGACAACACATAACATCACCACCCTCAGCCCTAACAGTCCCTTATAGAAGACAACACATAACATCACCACCCTCAGCCCTAACAGTCCCTTATAGAAGACACCACACATAACATCACCACCCTCAGCCCTAACAGTTCCTCACAGAAGACAACACATAACATCACCACCCTCAGCCCTAACAGTCCCTTATAGAAGACAACACATAACATCACCACCCTCAGCCCTAACAGTCCCTTATAGAAGACAACACATAACATCACCACCCTCAGCCCTATCAGTCCCTTATAGCCTGTCCCAATAGCTCTCAGACTCTCATGGGAACCCGGGCCTACTCTCCTCCCTCTTCTGGAAATGGAGAGCATCATTCTCCATGGCTAAGACACCTTTTATGACAATAAAGTCACTTAATAGAACACTGAAATTTGATGTCAGTGTGTTTCATGTCTAGCTCTAAAAGTCTGAGCATATTTCTTGGTTTTTCTTCCATTTTTTTTTATTCGACTTTAACGTTCTTATTATTGGGTTTAATATTTGTATTCTTTCTTTCAGCTTGCTTCTTTGAGTTCAAATATACCAAAAGCTAAAAACCTTGTAAGTATGTGCACTGTAGCATGCTAGACAGAGCAGATGTACGGGGAAAGAAAAAGCAGCGCTCTCGGGGCAAGGTGCTGCTGGCAAACTTTTAAGAGATGTGAGCCAGTGAAAAATCGTGGTATGTATCCTACACCTGAGGCAATCCATCACCCAGCAAATACAGGAACCACAGAAAAAGTTACCTTACACTGAAGCCACAGCTACGAGTGCTATGTCAAGTCACAGCTGTGCCCAGCTGTGCACGGAGTTATCCATACAGCCACACACGCCTCGGCTCAGCATTCTTCATGGACATTTACATACACCTAATAAGATGTCAACTACGGAATTACCGAATAGAATACTCTATGATGTAAAATGCCATAAATTTCATAAACTACTACAGAATACCAGAAGAGAAACTACTAAAAATACTACTGAATGGCTTAGGGGGTGTGGCTCAGTGGTAGAGCACTCACCAAACACATGTGAAGGCCTGGGTTCAATCCAAAACTGCCACGGAAAGTATTTAAATGTCTAAATAGAAGCATAATTTCTACAGTTTGACAGTTAAAAAAAATTATTTCTACTTTTGATTTAAGATACCTTATTTCATCCAAAGTTTGACCTACAAAAGACAAATCCACCCAAGGCCACTGATAATCATTATTGAATCATTTATAAATAAAGGTTTCGCATCTCCTTTTCAGAAGTCAAAAAATAAAGGAATGTCGTTTGAGTGTCTTCTGAATCCTTGATTACAGAAAAAAATATGGGGCAAAGTGATTGCACACGCAGGCACAATGAATTTTTATGAAAGATAATATTCTATAGATCATTCTAATTAACTATATGTATAAAACTGTCTCTCTAAAGTATAAATGAGTAAGTCCCTGAATATAAACTTTTAAATATTATCTTTACAGGCACTTCAAAATTAATTCCTAAAGAGCTAATTCCATACGATTACCCAACCTAAAGGAAGTTAAATTTCAGGGTTCTACACACAAATATATCCTCCAATGACAGTTTCAAAGATCTTAAGATACCTAAAGTGGTATTTTCATTTCAGATTCAAAGTAAACCTTAGTTCCTAACTAAACATAAGATAATATGGTGGATTTTCCAAAAACATGTTACATTTAAGAATTCAAACACACTGATTTTCTAAGCTTTCTTCGCTAGGTGTTCTATGTGGTGATTGGACTCTGTAAATTACCAGCATGGTGAATGAAATTCACCTCTTCCATAAAAACAAAAGAATATGGCTGCAAATCCCACCGATGAAACTAACAAGAGTCAAGTCCACATTACTACTCAAATCATGAGATGTGATGATAAAAGAAAAAAAACTTGAAAAAGGAAGTACTCGTTTAAGCTGCTACGACAGGAAAATGTGAACTTGTATTCAGCATCTTGTAAAAAAAAAAAAAACTACTTGGGATTTCTAAACTTTTCCAAAATGTAAAATATTTTATATTGTATGCCGAACATGTAGAGCTATCCAGCTTTTCAGATGACTGAAAAGATATTTATGCAGAAAACAACAGTAGAGCTCTTGACTGGGGGGAAGTGAGCCGTTCCCTAGGGAAACAGCTCAAGGTATGACATATGAAAACACTCCATCTTCATCGTCGCCCACATATGAAACTGCAAAGCGCCCAGGAGCATCCCAGCTGCCTGAGTTAAAGACAAATATTTGGATTCCCAAGATTCAGATTCGATTATCACATTTCCACAGCGTGCTTTTCCAAAACCCAAGGATTTAAAACTAAGACCAGCTTTTAAAAATCTTTCTGAACAGTAAGGTAACCAGAGGTAAGTCCTAGCACATCCTTTTGTACTTTAAAATGGAAATACTTTCGTAGACCCTCAAAATTACACAATCCAAGGGTTGGGGTGAAAGAATCCTACAAACCAGCAAATGGGTCCAAGAACCACCGAGCCCAGGGTGATGATGTCTCTAATGCGGCCTTAATTTCCTTTAGGGAAGATGGATAGGGCATTTCTGGTTAGTCGTGGGAAAAGAGCCACAAGAAGCCAGGCTTTATGATCATTAAAATTGGAAAAGGGTAAATAGATCAAAACATTAGGAGCAAAGGGGGAGGGGGGCAGGGGGAAATCCAGTTTCTAATCAAGCCAGTGGGGGCTGCAGAGAAGCCAGAGGAAAACCGGCTTCGGAGCCAAACTGTGCCAAGCACCAGGCATTACAAAAGACCAGTGCGACGCCCCCCGCCCCGGGGCATCACGCACACACCCAGCCGGTGCTCCCGGGCGGGTCCTCGCCCGCACGGACACCTCGTGCAGCAATTATGCAATTAGGGAAGAGCTCGGGACAGCCGGGCACTTTGCACCGCGACATCCATCCTGGACTTTGCGGAGACTTAGTTCCCGGCTGTGGCGGGCGCGGGCGGGGAGGGGAGGGGTCCTAGAGGGCGGAGGAGGGCCACTCTCTGCGGGAGGGGGGAGGGGCACGCGGGCCCCGGCGGGCACGCGCAGGGGCCAGCGAGGCCTGAGGGGCCGCGGGCGCGAGCCCGAGCCGAGGCCGCGGCGGGGGCGGGGATCTCGCCCGGCTGCCCCTCGCCGCGTGGGGTCCCCGTGCGCCCCCCGCCGCGGCTCGGGCCGCGGCCACGCCCGCCCGCCCGCCTGCCCGCGCCCACTCACCTCGAGGCGCCGCCCGCGCTCCAGCCGCGGCTCCGACGCCGAGTCCCGGAGTGAAGCCGCCGCCTCCGCGAGCCGCCGCCGCCGCCGCCACCCGGCCGTCCGCGCGCGCCCCCTCCCAGGCGCGCACTCGCCCTGCCCGCCCCGAGAGCCCGAAACGGCGCGAGCCCCACGTCGGCCTCGCGGCGGCGCGCCCGCGCGCCCGCGCCGCGCTTTCGCCCCGCCCCCGCCGGCGCGTGCCCGCGCGGGGTCCGGTGAGGTGCGCGCGCAAAAGTAAAGTGACAGCTGAGTCCCAGGCTGGGCCGGAGGAGGCAAAGGCGGGCAAAGGAGAAAGGAAAAGGAAGGAGGGAAATCGAGGCTGGACGGCGACGGGCGGGGAGGGACGCGAGGACCTTGACGAGCGCGCGCATTAAAGGGACACGCGGACGAAGGGGTGGGGGCGCTCCCCAGGAGGGTGCTGTGCAGGGGAGCGGGGGGAGGGGCAAGGAGAATCCCCCCACACCGTGCACCCACCGACTCGTGCACGCGCAGGGCCCACCTGCACCGCGGTGGGAAAACTTCACGTGGGCCTGGCTGAAGCCTCGGTTTACCCCATAGCTGCTGCAGGGAGGGAGGCTCCGGGTGTGCCTGGTCCTGTCCTGGAACTCAGGCTGCCATCATGGGATCATGGGAGGATGGGAGGGCGGGGAAGAAGGGTGCAACACTATCAGAACGAGTGGGAGGCTGCCTCTGAGCCAGAGAGACCGGTGTGGGACAATAGTAGCCTTGCTGTGGGTGGCCTGAGGAACATCAGGTTCCCCTGTCATTGTGGCCCAAAATAGCCACTTAAAAAATAATGCTCATGTTTTGTAAACTCAACTTCCATAACTCACCCCACCACCAAATACACACACACACACACACACACACACACACCTCCAAACTCTCCTAACAACAGAGTTCTAGGCTTGCTCTTGACTTCTGTTGGGAGACTTGGGAGCTGTTGAGACTGTGCAGTAGTCCTGCTCGGTAGAGCAGCTGATGACAGACCTCCATACCCACCTAAGAGAAGAGCAAACCCAATGTAGTCTAAGTCACTTGATCAATGCTAGTCAATACATAGGTGGAGAGACCAGCCTGCCAGCGGCCATAGGCCACCCTGGGGCATGAGAAGTCCTGAGTCGATCAGACAGCCTAAAGAAACTAGTGCCAAAAAGACCCCAGACTGGAGCAAGGCAAGAGCCATTGCCTGTGTCTGGAACAGAAAATGCGTCCACCAGATGCATTCTTCAAGAACGGACTTTGAATTAATCACCTCCCTGAAAACTGCCCAAAGCAGCTAGTGGTCTCTGGCCTGGAACACCACAGAGGAACAAGATGACAGCACCTGCATCTTCAGGAATGCCAGCTCGAGGATACGTGGGAGGGTTCAAAATGGGTGAGCCCTGGGTTTCTTGTTTGTGTGGCCACTTACATCTGTCACATGACGTCTTAGATGTGGTACGGTGTATTAGCAGAAATGCATCATATTTGGAATATGATCAAATAGAACACTTTCATAGACTGTCTTAAGTGTGGATAAAATTCATCTTCCCTCAGGAAATCTTCGCATATTTTCGTTCTCCTGATTATGTTTCAAGAATACAGAAAGCAAAGCCATACCTGTGTTTTGAAACGTTAAAAAAAAATTGTTTTGTTTTGATGTGGGATTTGACCCAGGACTTCCACAGGCTAAGCAGGCATGCAAGTTCCCCCACCTCTGGTATCCTGTGCTACTGCGTGTGCTGTTGCCTTACACTGGACGTTGTATCAGAAAGTACCTTCTGCTCCAGCCATTTTCAAGGCTTCTTTGTACTTCTGTCACTGACAGCGGGGCATGGGGATACAATCGGTGATGTCACCTTCCATCCTGTGGAAACAATTGAGGGATTTCGCCTCCATACTGTTGAAACTGTGCTTCAGCAGGGTTTTGTCAATCTGCAGATGCGTTCACGGATATTTTACAAAATTCAAAACAGGAAAACAAGTCTGATTCGCGCTTTTCATTCATTTAAGAAACATGAATTGTTGTATGCCAGGTTCTAGTTTGAGTCTAGGTAGTCGGGATATAACTACGAACGAAGAGGAAAACCTGGTCCTCAGAGGACTTGCGTGTTCCAGGTCCTTGTCAACTTCATCCTCTGCATTCAACTCACTAGCGAATTCTGCAGATTCGGTCGTCTGCTATGTCTGTTGAACGTTATTCCAGAGAGCCACAGCCAGTCAAAGCCGAGATTTATGCGCTTTGTAACTGTGGGTGCCTATTATAAAATGTGACATCTGTAACACAACCCCTACACCCCAAGACTCAGAGAACATTAAGGAAGATGAAGAGGCAGAAGAAAGGTTTTAAGAGCCAGAGGACATGGAGGACTACAGCAAAATAATGTCTTCCGGGTGTGGCAGGGATGTCGTCCCCATAGCCTGTCAATAGTGTCGCTGCCTGCACGAAAGCACACCAGTCAAAATGCCAGTATAGATGGGGAGAAATCACAAGGCCGCCCCTCTGGTGGAGGAGGTACAAGAAGAAGTCAAGGCCTTCTGAGGGAGGCTTGGTTTCTTCGGGGACAAGAAAGGTTGCCTACACCACAATGATTAGCGCTACAACCATGTACATATTATATAGGCAGCGTGACCTGAACTCAATAGTGTGTGTGTGTATGTGTGTATTTCAAGAGATGAGAGGACATAGATTTAAGATTTGAGACAGGGACATGGGCAGAGATACAGGAGGATTTAGAGAAGGATAGAAAGTAGTATATGATGAAAATACATTGAATTCTTATATGAAATTCTCAAAACAACCCCCTCAAGAAATGCTTATGCGTTCCCATTTTCCTACTTACTGCTAATTTCCCCAGTCTGAGCTACTGTGAAATCTCAGTGGAAGTCTCCTGTTTTTTTTTTTCATTCCCGATGCTCTCGCCAAACACACACACACACACACACACACACAGAGGGAGGGGTGCAGAGACACAAAAGTTCTTAAAGCAGGGCAGCCAGAGTGGCAGGACCAGCTTTGTGATCTCAGTAGTCAGAAGACAAAGGCAGAAAAACACCAAACTGGAGGCCGCTCTGAAAAGAAGAAAAATGCAACACTAAAACATAGGTTGAATTGTTTCTCTCTTCTTCTCAAAAATGCCAATGGCTTTGCACCCTGCATCAAGAGCAAAGCTCTCCTAATGGCTATGTGACCTCCTCCTCCTCAGCCCTCTGCCCCCAGCCAGCCTTCCAGACTGTAATGCTCACCATTGCTTATCCCTAGACCAACCGCTCTCCCCTCCTGCCCCTCCCGCAGAACTTCCTTCCCCCCCTCTGTTTTATTTCCTCCTCTCCACTGTCCTCATATTTGCAGTTCCGTTATATCATCCTGTCATCGTGAACTCACCCATCCTTCCTATGTCTCTTGTCTCTGAGTTTTAATATAGATTCGCTTCTAAGCAGAACTGGCAAACAGGAATGTTTGAAGGATCCCTCTGATTTTCTCACAGAAAAGTTCAGGAGAAAGTAGAGTCACTATTTATCTTTTTGGATGAGTGGTAGGACAATTTTTTTTTCTGGGAATAACAAGATGAGATGTAAGCAGAAAGTGTCACACTGTGGGGGACTCTGCCCCTTGTCTGGTGAGCCTCCATCCTTCTTAGGCACTTAATGAGAAGAGGTTATGAAATATCAATTCTACTCCTTGGAAAAAACATCTATTAGCTCGGATTGACCAATGATTAGAAAGCTGGAGTTGGTATAGTGACACACACCTGTTGTCCCAGCACTTGGGAGGGTCATGAATTTGTCTGGTTGGCAAAACCCTGTCTCAGAAAACCACAGACTGTCAGGCGGTGGTAGCATGTCTTTACTCCCAGCACTTGGGAGATAGAAGTAGGTGACCTCTGTGAATTCGAGGCCAGGCTGGTCTACAAAGTGAGTTCCAGGACAGCCAGGACTGTTACACAGAGAAACCATGTCTCAAACCTCTCCCCCTGCCCTCAAAAAAAAAAAAAAAAAAAAAGGCAAAAGAAAGTAAGAAAGGAAAAAAGAAAACCAGCGACTGGGAATTGTGGTTCAGTAGTATAGCGTTTGCTCCGCCTGTCCAAGGCTGATAGTTCTCCCTAACATGGAGAACAAGTTAGAAACCCTGAGAGAAAGAAAGAAAAGAATGATCTTTTGATTAAAGTCTGTAGGCTCATGTGATCACCAAGAATAGTCTAGATGTTAAAGAAGGGACAACACAAACTTTTATTTAAAATGGTAACTCACTTCTGTAATGCAGTGCATCTGGAAACCTGAGGCAGGAGGATTCCCATGAGTTAGAGGTCAGCCTGGGTTACATAGTGAGTTCCAGACCAGTCTGAGCTAGAGTAAAACCTTACAGAAAGGAAGGAGGGAGAGGGAGAGAGAGGCAGAGACACAGAGAGAGAAGACAACTGAACTCCCCGTCACTTAGTACCGCACTGGTACACAGGTAGCAAATGGTAGCTACATAAATCAACAAATAAATGAGTTTCTAACAGGGATGGAAGAGCCGATTCTTCTGACTTCATATGGTCTGGAACTTTGGCCCAGGCTGCCGTGCACTATTACATATGTTGTATACTGTAACATGTCATATTAAATAAGATGTGAACGCCAGCCCTAATGAGATGGCTCAACAGACCTTGACACCTGCAGCAAAAGCCTGGTGATGTGAGTTCCATCCCCCAAACCTACATAAAGATGGAAGGAGAGGACCAGCTCCCCAAGGTTGTCATGTGACTTCCACATGCTGGCTGTGGCCGGCATGCCTCCCCATCATCATGCACACACACAGTAGTAAATAGATAAAATTTTAAAAGTCTGAACGGTATGAATGCCCACGTGTGGCTGGTTCTCCACCCCCAGCCCCTATGTGCGCGCAGTCTTCAGTCTCTGTGGCGCTCCTGGCAATGCCTGCCTCTGGTGCTCACACTCATGTTCCTTTTCCCTCCACATCCTTATCCCAGGGTCGAGAAGGCGCTGAAAAGAAGGTCATGTGTGAGCTTGGTGGAGAAAAGAAGCTAGATGTCCATCTCGGTATATTTTGAAAGCTTGTGCAACCTTTCGGAGATGGAGCCTCGGTAGAGAAAGTTAGATCAGGATCAAAGTTTGATAGCCAGGCCCACTTCCTGTCTGCTCTCTGTCTCTTGACAGTAGACTCTGGGCT